CTCCCTCCCTCCCTCTCTCTCTCTCTCTCTCTCTCTCTCTCTCTCTCTCTCTCTCATATAGCTATCTATCTATTATCTACCTCACCTCCTATCTTTCTTACTTCTCTCAGAAAATGCCCTAGATCTCATTATGATTGTCTACTGAGATTAAGGTATACTAAATTATCAGGAACATGATACAGAATAACTAATGTTCTTATCCATCAGCCCATCTTCAGTAACAGTCTAGATGAGCTACTGAGAAGACAGAGCATCAATGCTGTGACCCTTTAACATAGTTCCTCATGTTGTGGTAACTCCCAACAGGGAATTATTTTCATTGTTACTTCAAAAGTGCAATGTTTGTGCTGCCATGTTGTAATGTAAATATCTGTGTTTTCTCATGGTCTTAGACAATCCCTGTGAAAGGTTCTTCAGTAACCAAAGAGGATGTGACCTACATGTTGAGAACCCCTGATCTATAGTGGTGCTAATTATGAGTACTGTACATTTATACCCACCTAAAACATATGTACCAAGGCCAAATCCTATCCTAAAGAAGCATGCATATAAGCACAGAAGTGATGAGTGAGGGAGGGAGGTTTTGTTTAGATTAGATTGTCTTGTCTTAGATAATGCCTAATTATGCTAATTTTATAATAAACATATTCACTTGGAAAGGCTACATGTCATTGGTTATCAGTAGGTTCAAAGTGAAACAGCCTACTTAAAATTTTAGAATTTTCCTGCTGTTTAACCTTTAACCTATCAATCCAAGTTTTTTTCTACTTTTGCAATGTATATATACACATGTATATGTATATATATATGTGTGTGTGTGTATATATATATGCATATATATGTATATATATGTGAGTATACATATATATACTATATAAATTATATATCCCTTTGGAAGACATGATCAATTTGGTTTTAATACATGGACAATTAGACATTTCTGAAATGTACTATGAAATGTACATTTTCACTTACCTTTTCTGCTGATTGCGCTGTGCCAAAAAATATTGGGATGAAGGCAAGCCATACGATACACGTCGTGTACATAGTGAATCCAATGGGCTTGGCTTCATTAAAATTCTCTGGTACACCCCGAGTCTTGATGGCATACACAGTACATGTGACCATGAGAAGAATGCTATATCCCAAAGAACAAATGATTTGAAGGTCTGTGATATCACATTTGAGAACTCCCCTGGCTTGCTCTGGGTTCATTGTTTTATGTTCATCGTAGTCTATGATGATGTTAGGTGGGTCAACCCCAAACCAAATGAAGACACCTAGAAGCTGCACCGATATTAAACTGGAAGTGATTGCCAGTTGTGATGTTGGGCTTATGAGTCTGGGAGCTGTCACCGATTTCTTGCCCTGCTCGAATATGCGATAAATCCGATTGGTTTTTGTTAAAAGGGCTGCATAACTAATACACATGCCCAAGCCCAAGAAGACACGTCGGAAAGAACACACTGCCACATCTGGTTTGGCAATCATTAGGAAGGTGATGATGTAGCAGAGAAAGATGCCTGTCAATAAAACATAGCTGAGTTCCCGCCCAGATGCCCTGACAATGGGTGTGTCATTGTAGCGGATGAAAGTTGCCATGACAAAGATGGTGGCAATGATCCCCAACATTGCCAGGAAGACAGGAATGACAGCCCAAGGGGAGTGCCACTCCAGTTTGATGATTGGGATGTTCTGACAGCCAGTTCTGTTCTCATTGGGCCTCTGGTCATAGGGACAATGCTGACATGTCATCTCATCAAACTGATACTGATATCCATCACAGGGCTCACAGGTCCAGCAGCAAGGGGTTCCCTTCTGTGTCTTCTTCCTCTGCCCAGGCTTGCATGGCAATGTGCACACAGAGGGTGGGATCTCACGGACTCCTTTGCCCCACTGCATGTCCTCTATCTGTATGTGGCACAAGAAATGAGACAAAGCAGTCAGGTCATTACAAAGAAGAGAATCAGAAAGATCAACAAACACAAACAATACCAACATTACTGTAGCTGCTAACACTAATCCAGAAAACTCCCTACACCAGCTAAAGAGCGATATAAGGAAATATGTTCAACTACATCCCCTGACAAGGTGAGCACATAAGTCTCAAATTAAGTGGGTGGTGATTAGGCACACAAAACAGGTAATAATTATGGAAAACCACTCACCTCTCAAATTAGGTGTTTTTAGACACACACACACACACACACACACACACACACACGCACACAGGCTCAGTATTTTAGGTAATAGTGCAGTACTGACTACCTGCCCCCATCATAGATTTTACAGACCTCCCTCATATAATGGTCATGATCATTGAGAGCTGTTAAAACAGCTAGATCCACCTAGTTCCTTATCAGAGGACAGACTGTAATAGTGCTCATTATTCTAGGCTGCAACTGAACTAGGCCTCTTTGCAGCCTGCAAGAAGTATTGGATAAGGAAATTTAAGCAATTGTGTGGTCTGAAAACATTTAAAGGGTTGCCAACCATTCCTCTAATGACAAAATTGAAACTGAATCTCTGTGGCACAGCAGATAGGAGAAAGTATATTGGCTCTGTTGGAATATTGGCTTTCTGGGAAAGTCATTACAATCTGTGGTGTTCTGGGAAACAGCATTCCACAGTAGGAAGAACTTTGTTGTAGAGCTGAATGCCCTTGTCCCTTGTGGCCAGCACTCCATCTGCCTTCCTTTCTTGCTAAGGGTTTATCAGATTCATTTTCTACTCATGGGACTCTAAATTACACACAGAAGCTGAGGAACATGCACTTTATTCAGACCTGACCAGAAAGCACACTGTAGTTTTTCTCCCGTTCAAGCAAGATAGGGGTCTCTTGGAGGAAATTTTATGAGGCTTGCTGAGATTCACACCAGATTATCCATTGAGTTTAGAACAGGGCCTGAGAATGGACATATCTAACACAGGCCCAGGTGCTGCTTCTCAGACCTATTCAGGGACCACTAGTGTCACATTTGAAACTCTGAGCCATGAGATCCCTGTGTCCCTGTCAGATAAGTTAGTTTCACTTCATTACCTGATATTACAGGAAGTAAAAATTATTGTCCTAGTTGGACAGATCTCCTGGCTGCAGAAACAAATGCATTAGATAAAAAGGCAGACAGAGAAACAGAATGGAGGAGGGGTTATCTGAGGATATGGATATAGTAGTGCCTGCAGTGGGCATTGCCTTAGACTAAGTCATTGTGTGTGATAATATATTCACCCCTGCCTGATACATAGCCCATGGTACATCAGTAGGATTTCTACTTCTGTTGCCTGTAACTAAGAGCCTCAGTAAAAGTCACACTGACTACATAGTTTCAGTAGAACCTTAGAAAGATAAACTTCAAGTTAATTATTTTAGAAAATAAATCTCATCAAAGAGCTATGACTGATTTTTTCTAATTGAATTTTTAATATTAACCTAATTGGAATTTTAATATAATTGAACCAAAATAAAAAAAAAGATTAGAAAGATACTGGAAACTTCAAAACATTTTTAAGTCAATATTCTTTTTTTAGGGATAAGGGAAGAAGGAAATGAACCTTTACCAGTCATTGGAATTTTGGTATCATTAATGTGGAATACAGTGCAGAGCAGGAAGCAGGCTCCCACCAATTTTTGTATATAAGCAACATTCAATGTCTGAACCAAAAGACCTAACTCAACAAACAATTCTGCATAGTGTAAGGGGCAAAACATCATAACTTTCTAACAGTTGGATTTAAATTTGAACCCAAACCCCAAGAATGTTCTGAGGACTTTGGTGTGAACTCATTTGCCTGAGCATAAAACCCAACTCAGCACGAATAAATCTAACTAAATATAAGCCATAATAATAAGTTCATTCGCAACAATTTCTTTTTGAGGCAGTAAGTCATTGGCAGTCATCCCAAAACCATAAAATTAAGGAAATAAAACTTGTAATAAGACAGAAAATGATAGGCAATAACTTTTCAAGTGTCAGATTCTAAGAAGCAGGCACATTTAAAAACTTGGCTATTATTAACATAAATGCTGTCCGATGTCAAATTAAAGGAACCAAGTCATGGTCACTACAAGACTAATGAATAAGGCTAATAAGTGAATTCCATGAGCTGAATTTGTGGCTGTCTTATTCCAACATTAATCATTATGATGACTCCAAATATTGCCACCACACTGTGTTTTCCTCTCAGAATAAAACAAAATGTGTATAAATTCAGGAATTTTGTTTTATTCTTCCCAGTGTAACTAAATATACACAAAGGCTGTAACCAAAAGCATTACAGTGAGTGATTGCTTAATTTGTTTTCAATTTTCATTTAAAGTCGATTTCAACTCTGTTTAATTATGTATATTAAAGCATCAGAGTCACCTCTTGCACCAAATGAACAGAAATCTAAATTTACACCCTGGGCTACTAAATAACATGATTGAAAATATTATTCCTGTTCTATGAAGGTAACAAGTGCCCTAGTTTTCCAGGAAATGAGATGCACATGATTTGGCTATGCCTACTGCTATCTATACAGATATAACACTTTACTTTCTATGAAGAAATCACAGCTACAAATGCTTATGGGTAACTACTGAAAAATGTGAGTCATTTATAGTTATGAAAAAAAAATCAAGGATGACACCAATGTTGTTTGCAAAATAGCCATAGGATGATGAGTTTCAGTTTCCTCTGAACTCTGTAACAAGACAACATTTCAGTTAGATGGGAAGTCAAATTTTAAACATAAAATGATTGGGTTAAAGACAGGGATATATAAAATCTTATTGTTTTCCTTCAAGAAAACTGAAGGGACTCTGGCCAGCTAGAGCTTGGAAATATGGCTCTCACAGGCCTTGCTCTTTTTTTCTTCTTCTCTCTGCCTTGCTAAAACCATTAGATTACATTCCTAATGCTAGACCCCAAGGTCTATTTTCTTATTTGTCCATGCTCTCTTTCTGAGGCAGACTATCAAAGTCCAGCTATCAAAGTATTGAAGTCTAGAAATCAAAATCTCCTTTGACTCACCTAATTAGCAGGCCCAATTAAAATTTAACACCTCATCCTAATATGAAGCTTACCTTTGTTCTTTATAAACTGCCATTTGCCTATGAACCACATTTATTTTCTCTCTATCTATAGGCAGTTCTTTGTCCAAGACAAATATTCTTTTCTGTTCTCATTTGTTCCCTTCCCTTCATCCTCTATTTCCTGCCTCTGTCGCTTATTCCCTACCTTTGTCCCTCTGGGACAAATAAATCTCTTTTGTGTTGATAACTTGCTCTTGGAAGTCCTGAGCCAATACTATTCCTTTCATATCAAACTTCGTCTTGGGGTATCTTGAGCCAACTCTACAAGATGATGCTCAATGATGATGAAAAAAATGTTGAGGTTTCCTACAAAATTTTGACTTAGATTTGGTCTAAAAACCCCACTCCCTAACTCAGATCTTACATTTTTAGACATCCTGATGCCCTATCTACGAATCCAACAGTGGCTTCTTGGGAAGCAGCCCACCACCACTACTGCTGTCATAAACAGTCCCCAGGTTATCAGCCATGCAATGTCCCATGTCCTTACACTGTCCTGTGGGATTGGGGAGACTATACCACCTTCACTGGTTATGAATTCCCAGTCAATAGACACATTCTGTTCAGTATCCTTTGGTTGGAAGTTTTCACTTCACTTTTAGTGGCCACACTGCCAGAATCCAGTGGCCCTTCCTAGCCCTTGGAAAATCATGTCTAACCTGTCCTGGATTTCTCCTCAGACTATTGTTTCCCTCTTGGTGAGGGAGCTTGAGTGATAACTCATCCCTCCCAGAGGTTTCCTTAGGGATACTGGAGATCAGGGAATACCCTAAGCTCTTGATCCTGACACAAGGATACTATTAGCAAATGGAATCATTCCTTCCATCCCAATTGAAAACTTCAACATCCACCCCCAAAGTACTGATATATCTTAACACCCAAAGCCAACCCTTATACTCTCTATGGACCAAACAACATACCAGTCTTTAAAATTCCATGGGTATAAGGACTGAAACAAGGAGATGTAGTCGCCCTTCTCTCTCAGAGACATTCAAAGTTATGATTATTTGACACCTGATCTGCTCAGGAGCTGACTCTCAGGGAAGATCTCTTGAGATCCTCATTCTAGGCAAGAAAAAGGAACTTGACATCTGATACTAATGATAAACACAAGTCAAGGTATATAGATTATAGGCTGTTTGGATTGACTGCGAAGGAAATGATTCATAATGTGGCTCTGGAAACAAGAACAAGGCTATAGTTACCAAACTTTGAGCCCATATAATACTTTGAAATATCATGGTGACCTTGCAACTATGAAAATATAATCCCAAAGAAGGAAGCACATTTACTGAGGAGCCAAGTGACAATGCTCAAGACTGTTAATCATGGGAATGCTCTTTTATAGAATTGAGAATTTATCAATTTTAACATCCCTAAAATTATAGAAATTTGCTTTCTAAAATTAAAGAACATTACTTTTCTACATTTTTCATCCTTTTCACTTTCACACTTGATTCAATGACAATAAGTACTATGAGCTACTCAGGTGTCATGTAGCACAGATTCTTTGTGCTTTCTCTGAGCAGTCTACACTCTGCCATAAGGGCTGCTGTTCTCCTCAGTGCCCCTGCCATCCATATTCATGTCTGTGCGTTTATGGCACTAATAAGTCTTGGGAGAAATATCTTATCCAAAGGACAGCTAAATTCACCCTCTTGACCCCCAAACCTGAAAACTTTCAAAGGCAGCACGATGGTGAATCTTATCTGAACCATGCGGATGTAAAGAACTATGTCATAGATGTCATAATTATGTGACCAAAATCAGCCTATATACTGTTGTGAAACTTTTAACATGAAATGACAAACTTTCTTCAATAGCAACTAACTCTTCA